GGAAACTCAAGACAGCCATAACATGATGATTTTTTACAAGTGTATGTACACTTTTGACCACAACTGTAGCATCTTGATGTTTTAGAATGAATGCCCAGGTACCATAGCACAAAAAATATAAATGTGAAAGAAAAAAACACTGGTCATGCTTAGGCTCAGGTCTTGTTATTGTGTCTACAGAAGGCAGCATGAGAAGCCGATAGGTAAAACTGAGCCTCGCTGTCGGAACTTAATATTTTCACAGACAGCGACGTATCTGCGTCTTTAAATACTCAGACATACAGTGGCTGAATGAGATGTGGGAAATGCTGCAATCTTTTAAGTTGTCACCTCCTGCCCACTTAAAACTAGGGTGGGACAAAAATTGATCGCTTCTGACTTCTAATGTTTGATTCCAAAGTGCTTCACGCTACAGTCTTTTAGCATGCAACTAAAAGATCTAAACAACAACAACAAAAAAACACAACATATTCTGATACGGAGAAATTCAAGAACAGACGGGCACTAAAGTCACTGACCAGTCTGTCAGGCACCAGACCTGTACTCAGATATTGGAGAGCAAATAATCCTTTTTAATGAGTGGTGAGAGGAATGACGAAAAACAAAAGAAAGAAATAATTTAGCTCTAAGGTTGTTAGAAGACAGAGAAGATTTGGGAAAACATGAGGCCAAAATATGGATACAGTACAGAGAAGCTATTAATGTATATGGAGAAGATCCTAACGTTGATTTTGCTTGTAGTGAGTGACAAGGGTAGTGGTTATATTGGTTAGACTTTCATGCTGGCGGTGTTTGTAATTCGAAAAAAATAAAATAAAATGTAAAAATCAAAAGTAATTGTTGCAAATAGTACATGGGAGTTATTGCTTTGATAGATATTTCCCCCTCTTTTGATAAAAAAAAAATCCTTTTGTGTCTTTTCAGGTCGTTTTATTAGATATTAAAATTAGTTTACTGATCTGAAACATTTAAATGTGAAAAAAAAGCAGTACGAGAACACGCTATAAGTTACCAATCTTTTTGTTTTTTTCATTTTTACAGTACTGTATGATCTACATCTATTATCAAAGAGGAGTTAGTTTACTTATGCTAGTACCTTACGACATAGAAAAAGTAAAATGGACAAATATTAGAACTTACACTTAGATCTCATTCACTGATTCTTCACAGTTTTCCAGGAACAATAAAACTACTTTTACTGGTTGGTTGGAACCAGCTCGGATGTTTGTTTGAAACATAGGAACTGTTTTAACCCTTACTTAAGAGCATTGTTTTAGCATAGGTAAATAAAATGCACTCTTGGTCATTTATATTACAGAGATAAACTGATAAATTTTAAACCAAGATAAAGTGATAAATTGGGCCCTTTTCCTAGTTCGTTGAAATGAGACTTAACAGACACAAAAACAATTTCACCATTTCTCGATCATTGTTGGATTGCATTAATCAACATTTTAATAATACAGACGCACCCGACACACTCAGCCACAGGCCGCATGGATTCCTGGGATACAAACACATGGCAAGCAAATCTGTTCAGCATTGGATGCTTGGTGATGAAGCCAAAGTAGCTGCAGAGAGATGAGAGCAACATGATGCAATCAGTCAGGTGTTAGTGTGCAGTAAAAACAAGAGGGCGGAGGGCGGGAGGCCTTGCTTACCAGTTGTTCCTCGGATGACATCCACAGAAAGAGATGTTCTTCATCTGGAAGAAGTGACTACATCTGTCGTACTGGGGATGAGAAGAGAAAGATGGACAGAATTTAGAACAAGACTGTAGATTAATGAGGGAAGTAAAATTACTCTGCACAAGATGGATGTTCTGTCTCATGTATTTATTCATTCGTACCTCATCAAGGGTGTCATATTCGTCGTCCAAACTCATGATTAGTTTAACTCCTTGCAAGCTGATCTCCAGCTCGCAGAGAGAAGGAGGTCGCACATGTACCGTCCGTTTTCTCGACATCGCAATCTACATGACAAAAAGCGTGTTCATGAGGCTATTGGTAGTTTTTCAGGGAGGTATTTGGTAAGTATGTAGTGTTGGTCAGAAGTTTGCATAAGCTTGTGATCTACAGAGTGAACTTTGCATTATAATTGTGGCTATTATTGATGACCTATATTATTTTTTGCTTTTATTTTGTTCCTCAAGGTGGAATGATTGTACAACTTCAATAAAATTTAAAATCAAGATATGTGGACACACATTTGAATTTAATGCAAATTTTACTCAATTCACATAGGTTCAAACTTATCAACACAGGCTCAACTAAACATATACATCTCCACTGATATTTAGTATATTATTCCTTCTCAAGTTGCAAAGAAACCACATACTTTTTGTAGCTATCAACTCCTTATAGCAGAATTGGTTGAGCTCATTTAAATTGGTCGATTTCCTGGCATGAACTGAGCTTTTAAGCATGGTCCATAATTTGAGGTCATCACATTGGGGAGGACATCCAGGAAGCCTTTAAAAATAGCTATAATGTCTTTGGGATTGTTGGCTGCTTGTTCTGGGCCCCATCTGTATTGAAGGTTTTCAAAGATGAGAATGCCGTGCCAAATGAAAGCATGGTTGTAGTAGAAGTACTTGTTCCTAACTACAAAAATGTATGGTGTCTCTCTTAACTTAAGATCATTTATCCAAACACAGGTGGAAGCACAGTTATGTTTGTGAATGTGTTTGTATCACTGATTCAGAATGGATTAGAGAAAATCCACCATAAACTGAAACTTGTTTTAAAAATACCAGTTCTTAAAATATATTGAAAATAATCTGGAAAGAGAACACTGATTCCTGATTTCCTAACAATCAGGAAAATTTCATTTGCTCAGTGGAAACATCTTGTATCACTTTTTTTTTTTTTGCTTGTTTATTGTTACTGTGGATGTTTGTTTTCTGTTTTCAGCAAAATATGTAGTCAAAGTTAATTTGACATCCATGTTCATAACCAGGGTGTTTATGTGTGTCAGTAAGGAATGTATGTATGCTTTAATATTTTTCATTTTTCTCACCTTTTGCATTGCAGCACAGAGAATGCCATTGCCTTGGTGGTAAGGAACCTCAACAGAACCCAAAAACTGAACATTGAACGTCTCAATCCACCCTGGATTCCTTTTCAGGCCTACGGAGGGCAAAACAAATGTGTTACGCTTTTGTAATCCTTAGTTCAGTGAAATGTTAAAAAGTACTGCAGATGCATGTCATCACTCACTCAGCAACTCTTTGGACTGGCCTATGACTTCATGGGCATAGAAGGCAGGAAAGATCCCTTTTTCTCCTGTCCGCATGTTGTAGCCTCTGTACCAATAGTCATCTTCTTCTTCCTCCACATATAAAGGATCGTCCACATCCAGCTCCAGTTCATCCTCATGTCTAGGAATGAACCTGTACAAGGCACAGACAAAACAATGATATTGTTGTGAAATGCTGCGTTTGCTTCTATAAGGTCTTCCATTGTGGACAGAGGAATGGAGAAAGAACACCTCTCTTGCACAGTGAAGGCCGTTTTGGGCTTTCCTCGTCATTTTGTTTAGTTTGGAGATGCGTGGCAGCTGATCTCATTGTTGTCAGCCACCCAACACCACCCAGTTCTACAAGTAACCATTACATTTTCTCTTCTCCTAAGTGTTGATGATTGCCTCAGAACACAGTCAACCACATTATTCACATTTAATTTCTCTGTACAAGAGTTTTCCAACTTAATGCTCTGGGTTTATACATTTACGAATCATGTGGCAATGTTTTGGATAGTTTATACTTTCTTTATTCACTTGTTATCTGTTTGCAGGAACTCTAAAAGTTCACCTGTACACTGCTCTATGTGTCTGCTCCCGCTCCTCTCCGTTGATGGTACATGAGAAAAGTCCAAAGGATTCTGTGCCTGCATGGAAGACAGAAAAATTATAAATGACTCATTTTGATATAATCAGGAAAGTGTTATTTCATTTGCTCAGTGCAAACATCTTGTTTCACTTTTTTATTGTTGCTGTGAATCCCTTTGCTGTGGATGTCCGTTTTCTGTTTACGCTTAGTACTAAGGAGGTACCTTCACAGTAGGATAGGGTACCTACTGTGAAGGCAGCAATATGTTAAACTTTTAACGCAAAATATTCATAAAAGGGGTAGTTGATTCAGATCTACAGAATTTCCTTATGCCTACTGTGTTTAAAAAGAGCTAAAATGTTTGCCTTTTGAAAAAAAAGTAATAAAAGCTAGCTTAGAATCTATTAAAATATTTATTATTTTTTGTGCCGCTTACTTGAGGAGCGGGAGGTGCTGTTGACGAACACATTTAGGAACTTCTTGGAAAATGGCAGATCGGCCTCTGGAGAGGAGTCCTCCGAAGAGCTCAAAAGTTCTGGCCTGATCCCTTCATTGTCGTGCCTGTAGCCCACCTTGCCAGTCTCCAATGGCTCTTCATCACATAAGGTAGACAGCTCACTGTCATCACTCAAAACTGAGGTGCATCTAAAAGGACAAAACAGCAAGAAATAAAGGTTGATCACAGATAAAATTGAAGGTCACTTTGTACTCTATTTTCTCATTTTTCAAACAATGTTAGGCCTACCGCCGAAGGCTAACTAGTTCCAGCGTTGTATTTTCATCCACCACAAGTGTGTACTTCATGGAGTCATAAGCCAGTCCATCATCTTCATTCGATTGCCTGAGAATCAGGTCTTTCTCACACAGTGGGAGGTCATGGTCAGGTAACGGATGATTGTGCACACTGGAATCAATCGGTGGTGAGCTGTCGAGTTCTAAATCACTACCACCATACGATTGATTCCTCATGCTACCCATGAAAGAATAAGAGTCACCATCATCCTCCTCTTCATCATTGTCAGTGGAGTAGGTAAGACTAAAGCAGCGATTGGTCTGAGCAGTCGGTATGTCGAGCGTCAGACTGTTTTTGACCTCTGTGATTCGCTCAAGAGATGCAGATGAACGACTTGTTGGCCTGGGTTCAGTTTCCCGCCCCTCGTCCTTGTCACTTATCACACTCTCGCTGAGGCTGGGCGAGTCTAAATCCCTTCTGCCTTCCATCATTAAGTCGTTATTAGGTTCTTCGTCCTCTGGTCTCCCAGCATTCTTTGATAGCTTCTCTGTGGAGTTCTTGTCACAGTCTATATTGGTATACAAGGTGGTTTCCTCCTCTAGATTTGCACAGCGCTCTAAAATCAGTGGGCTTATAGTATCAGCAGTAGGGTTGCTCATATAGAGATGAGAACTTGCTCCTGGCTCCAACATCTCTTTTCTGTAGCCTTTGCCTTCTTTTTCCCTTTCCTGTGACCTTTCTATCTCTGCTTTCTTATCCTGGGTCTCGTCATTGAAATCATCTCCATCTCCAATATCGGAAGATGGGGAGATGGTATCAGACACTGATGCCTTCCTCCTAAAGCACTCTTCAGGGCAACTAATTGGATATGAGCCCTCGGAAATCATCCTATTCACTAAGTTACTAAGAAGCCATGGGGAGTCTGAATTCTCACTTAGGTCATCTTCACTCTCTGATTCAGACTCCCCCTCACTTGTTTCATCATACTCATCTGCACATGGCATTAGTCTGGGCCCCACTGGCAGGTAGAAGGAGCGTTTGAAACTCTCCAGGCCATGGTCTGGTTCTATCTCGAGCACCATTGGTCTGGACAGACGATCGTCGCAGCACTGGGCTGGAGGCAGCGTCTCATCTGGATCGGCATGGTGCTCACAAGCCAGCTCATCATCCACACTCTGCATCCCCATCAGAGCCTGACCATCATCGTAGGACTCAGGAGGTAAGATGGGTGAACCAACAAGTGAGGGTGTGGCGATAGTAGGTGAGGGATTAGGGGAAGGAGAAGGTAGAAGAGAGTCTTCTTTGATTGGATCACGCTGGCCCAAAAGCAGAGATGTTTTGAGGCCAACAATTCCACTGTCCTGTTCTAACTCGGTATCTGGGTCTAGTTCCTGGTCGGATGTTGGTGAGCTGGCCTCCTCAATTGAGTTGGTAAGGTGAGACGAACGTCCACTGCTGCTCTCATCACTTGTCAAGTCCAACTCTGTTTCTGAAATAGAGGAGATCATGTTGGAAACCACAGGACCCCCACAAGTAAATGCTGCTTCCAGTTCCCCTTCAACGTCAGAATCAGAACCTGGAGAGCTAAGGTCCTTGTCCTGGTCTGAAGTTACATAACCCTGCTGGTTCATGTCTGCTATCCCTGGGTCTGAGGATGGGGAGGTTGAATCGTTAGCCGCTGGCTCCACAGCAGAAACTGTTTGAGTATCTGAATGGATGGACTGGTCTGGAGCTTCTGAGCGCCTTGACGAGTGATAGCTGGAGAAAGATGCGGGCTCAGACGGCTCAATCGAAGGGAATTCAACATAAGACGACTGATTCTCCTTGCAGACCATGTCATAGGCCTCCTTGCACATGAACTTCACTTCAAAGTCCTTCTCCAGCTCTTCATCAGACAAGGGTGTATCAGCACCCTCATTTCCTCCCATGGGAGCCGTGGATGATAAACAATGACTGGTGCCATCTGGGTCAGGATCGTTTTCTGGTTCCATACCAGACTCGCTGGTGATTGTATAAGTGTCTGTGGCACGCCGGTTTGAGTGTTTATGGTTATGGTCACTGTTGAGGTCATGGTCCACCTCTGTGTCTGAACACTGGGAGTGCTCGTCTACAGAGGGTACTCTGGCTGTCTGGATTGTTGGGTCTGCCTTTGAGTCAGTAAACTCTGAAGGACATGGGTTGGACCTGTGCTGACCAAATGATCCTGTAAAGATAATAGTGTTGCAGAAAGAAATCATGGTAAACACAAAAAACACAGCACTTGCAACTTTAATGAAGTTGATGATGATGAAACGGAGATAAAAGGTAAACAATCTAAGGAGCTGAGATAGAGAAATGTAAACATGCTGGAGAAAAATAAAGGCTAATCTCTGATTTAAACTGATCAATATTCATTAAAAACAAAATATAAGCAAAGGCCTATATAAAAAAAAAAGCTAAATGATTTTTCAAGTTGTACGTTAAATCAAATCCACAACACAGCACTACATCACACCGATGTAAATGGGGATGAAATTCAAGCTTGATGGGCTGGCCTTCGTGTTACCATATTCTGGCCTTTCCCGTCTGTTGCCCTCCATGTCGCAGAGGAGGGGCCTATGAGGAGACTGGGGGTTCCCGCCCTCCCCTGCTTGTTTTGGTGGAGTACCTTTGCTCTGCAACCCTGGAGCCTGGGAAAGTGGAGAGGCTCTGCACTGGCCTGTCACATGGCTACCATCGTCCAAGCATGAGTGGGTTGGAGACAGACGACCTGAAAGTAGGAAAAGTCCTACTTTTGTCAGTTCAAAGCTAACTGAACTTCAGTGAAGAGTTGGAAGTATTTATTTTTCATATTCACCGTTTTGCTTTGTACAATAAAACAATTTCCATCAAGTGCTTTACAGATAATGTGATGAGCTCACCTTGTGAAGTTGGATTGCGTAAAGAGTCTTGCCAACTTCCTTTCTTTGGGGACAGACTGCTGTTGTTGTTCAACGAATCCTAGTGAACGAGATCCAGTATTATAAAAGACTGTATGTGGCTAATAGAAAGAGCTTACTTGAGGTTGGTGCGTTCTGGGTGATTAAATACTGAATCTGCATACCTGCGATACAGCGGTGGTAAGATTCAACGTGCTGGGTCTGCTCTTCAGAGTGCCCAAGGTAGGGGAGGGAGGAGGAGATGCAGAGGGAGACGGGGGTGCATCAGGGTCAACTTCTTCCTCTTCATCCTCTTCATCCTCTTCATCCTCGTCTTCATCATCAATCATCTCAAACTCTTGGAAGTCATCCTGGAAGGAGCAGACTGGGTGGTGCATGTCACTCTTCTCCAGGATGAGGGAATCCTAAAAGAGAGAGAGAGAGAGAGAGAGAGAGTTATTGTGATATAATAATATATATTAGTGATTGTTGAACAGCAAACCACAGTGTTACTCCTGGATCTTGAATTGTCAGTTGGATAATGCCACTTTCTTAAAAATTGTCACCACAACCCTATCTCCCACTCCAAATGTATTATTACATTCTTCCATGTGACATTGAAGAGGAGTGTCAACTATGACAGCCCCACATTGTCCAGAGCCTTCAAGATTTCAGGCCAAATCTCATCCACATCTGGCACCCTGTCACTGAGGAGCTTTTAAACTTCCTCAGAGACTTCTGCCACAGTAGTGGAATCTCATTCTCCCGAGTCTTTAGGAGGACATGGTGGCTGATCGGATTGAGAAGATCCTCAAAGTGCTTGTTTCGCTGCTGACATTGTCCTCAGTCCAGAGTCACAGTTTCCACTCCAAAGCCTACGTAGCTTGTGATCGTTCCCGTTCTCTTTCTCTCACTCACTGAAAGGTCAAAAATAATACAAATGAAAGTCTCTCTTGGTAGCCTTTTTGAATTTCTCCCATTCCCAAATGTTTGCTTTTGCAACCACAGAAGCTGCTTCAGGAATCCCCAAAGACGACCAAGACCTGAAGTCCTCCATTTGTAATGGAAATCCTGGACGTGGTACATTTGGATCCCATTTCCCCAATCTCCCTCGGTACATAAAAGAAATTCTCCCAGAGAAGTGAATTGAAGATCACTCAGAGAGGCTCCTTGGCCATATGTTCCTAGTTCACCCCCCTCATTTGTGTTTACCAGATCTGCCCGGTAGCCTATCACCAGACAGTGATCAGTTGATAGCTCTGCCCCTCCAGATGTCTGATGATATGATTACAAAACTGATCAACGACCTTTGGTCCAAAGTGGACTGGTACCAAGTACACTTATAAACAACCAAATGCTTGAAGATGGTGTTTGTTATTGCTATTCCGTGCCTCACACAAAAGTCCAATAACAAAGCAGCAACTGAGTTCAGATCAGCAAGGCCACTCTCCCCGATCAAGCTCTGCAGGTAACATCATCATCACCCACATCGACATGAAGCCCCCCACTGAATCCCCAGATGGCACTCCTTCCAGGACACCATCCAGAGACTCCAAGAAGGCCAGGTGATTTGAAATGCAGTTCAGTACCTAAGCAGGAAGAACAGTCAGAACCTTTCTTGGTGAACGGAAAAGAAAAAAATTAAAAATGGGCAAATACTGATTTAAAAAAGCAGATAAAAATTCAGAAAATTATTTTAAAGTATAAAAAGTTATCCTTTACAATACATTTAATGTCTGTTGGGTTCAAACCTACTACCTCTGTCACAGATACTGCAGTATTTTCTCTTTTGATGGCACTTTAAAACAATCACGTAGACAGACGCATGTTGTGGTTCTTTAACACTTAGTTTAGCAGGTCAAACAATGTGGGAAAGCTCAAAGCGTATAAATACTCATGCAAAACTTAGTATTATGCTTTATAATAAGAGATGGGCAAACATTGAAATGGAGTTCATATTCAACTGTTTTTCACGTTCATGAGTATTGCTTTTGCCTTTCTCAGCATCAGCTTCATGAAAAAGATGATAAGGCTTTGCAGACGGTGGGGTAATAGAGCTCACTAGCAAGTTTGAGGTCAACAAAATAAAATTAGATCAAACACGTCTGTATCGGATTTCATCGGTTTACCGGAAAGCACAACACTAAATGGTTGAGGTTCAATAAACCACACCTCCTCTGTTGGTTTCAGATGTGCACAGCAGCTGAAAACGTTTGCTTATGCTATACTACACATACAAAAAAATGCATGTGTAGGGAATAGGGGCTCGTGTGTTCCTTCACACAAGCCCCTATTCCCTACTTTGAATTTAACAATGCCTGGACTGATTTGTCCGTTTCATCCCGTTTACAAGCGCAGCAGTTTCTGTGCCTCTAAGTGCCGTCTGTTTAATGGACGAACCAAAGATCGCCCTCTCACCCACACCCACCACACAATTCTGCTGATGCCTGATGCATCCACTTTATGCTACAGAATCTGAAATCAACACTCAGCCTGCTGCATAGGGACTACACATGAATATGCAAACTTGTATCTCTTTAACATATCTCTTGTTGAGGATTTAGTTGTTAACATACAGTGGAATGTTTGGGAAAAAAAGATATTGTTTTCCATGGAGGATAGCTCAGGCAAATATCTGCAGTCACTATGTAAAAAAGCCAAGGCTCCTTTTTTCCACACAACATTTGAGCATATGTGGCATATAACAATATGGCAGTGTAAAAACCTTAAAGATCCATATCTAGGTTGTGAAAACGCTTCAACTGCCGGGGGACAACAGTCTGCAGCATCACAACACATCCTCTAGCAAGGCCACCTGACAGACAGGCAGGCGGGATTAAAAAAAATAAAACAAAACTATAAATAAGAAGTGTGTGTTGGCAAAAAATCAATCCCTGCAGTCTCCAGTTCCCAAGGACAACCCACCCAGCCCAGTAGCATGCATCCTGTCGACTAGTAGACAATGCTGCACTTCTGCATACGAGCCACTGGGAATATACTTACTGACTCAGACAGAAAATGTATTCAGTTTATTAATCAGCAGGCTTACATTTTACTGTACGAGGACACTATTTAACCTAAGCCAATTATATGAGTTCCCAGTTGACATCCTGCTGATATCCCTCATATAAACATTTCAGCAACTTTACAGGAGCAAGTAGAGCTGTAACTGTGGCAAATAATACTTAAAAGCAGAGAAGCTTTGCGATCTCTAATTAGTAGACCGCAGGCCAGATGACCATGGCTGATTCCGAATCAAATAACTCTGCTGCAGCTGAATATCAGAGGAACAGTATGATGGCTTCCCTAATGGAAAAAAAAAAATCCTTTTACCAGTGCAGAAAACAGACCCTTCGGGTCAAATTATAGCATCATGTATCCTACTGAGCAGAAGAACCGACAGCGAAATGGGTTAGAGAGCCTGAAGATGAGAGCTTGAAGCAAATAACATAACACTTGTTGGGTGAAACCAGAGACAAAGAACAATTTTAAAATGAACCGATAAAATCAAAGCACCTTGGAGGTAGGAGAGACTTAATAGCTTAAGTTTTAAAAAATATATATTGAGAAAGATTGTTGCAGACAGGAAAAGATAATTATTATTTTTTTATTATTATGATATGGGGTTAGTTTATTTTTTTGCAAAGTGTTTAATTTATATTTGATGCTGGAAACCATTTAAAATGCCTTGTGTGGAGGCCAAGTTAATGTGGAAAATATCCAGTTACTGTTGGGACTTATTTGTTTAATTAGAAATTTAACGGGTGCATTTGTGGAATTTTTAGGTAGAATTATTGTATTCCATGTGACTAATTTCATAATATTTTATTGTGAATAAGTGTTATTAGAAGTATGTTTTATAGCTTAATTGGCCACATGGCAACTTTATGCAAATGAGGTGGGCCGTGTGAAAAAGAAGGAGATAGCAGATACAACGGAAGGCGCTGCAAAAAGGAGCCACACGGTTTTTCAGCCGTAGGTGGTTTGTGGAGGTTAGCGAAGAACCAATTGCTCTTGTAAAAGATTTACTCAAAAACTGTGGAATAAATTTTTGTTTTATATCTTTACATCGGAGCGCTGCAGACGTTTTCATTTTTTCCTCTTCCTCTTCAAACACACGAGTAAATCAACAAACTTAACCTTGTGGCAACACGCCTTGGAAATATATTCAGACTCCTTGAACTTTTGAAATGTTTTCATGTTAATCCTAGTAGCTTCAATGTATTTTCAAAAAGACTTTATATTACATAGCACACAAAATATTACATCAAACTGAAGAGGAAGTAGAGGAAAGAAGAAAATTATACATGAGATTAATTTTATATTTGAATAGAAATGTGAAAATATGGCAGGTAGGCATGTGTTACAACTATTCAAACCATTTCATACTGAGTCTGAAGTAATGTCTTCCATGATTGGCTCTACCTGTCTTCCAATCAGCAACAGGTTCTCTGCATCCCCACAACTTGATGATGCCATTACCAAGTTTTACTGTGGGCATGGTGTGTTCAGGGTAAAATGTATTGCAATGTAAGACTTTTGCCCTACATAACATTCACCACATAGGGCAAAATGACAAACCTTTTTCTCATGTGATCAGAGCATCTTTTGCAACGTGCTCGCTGTGCTCCCTTCAGCACACACAGAGTGTTTTCATTCAACAATGGCTTTCTTCAGGCTGCTTTACTATACAGGTCTAATTTGTCACAGTCACCTCCTGGTGGCCACCTATTTTCTGAGAAAAGATTGAAAAGTGCTCTCTGAGATGTCCAAAGCTTGGTATGTTGTTTTCTAACTCAACTTTAAACTTTTTTATAATGGTGTTTTATATTTACTTATATTCCCCTAACAAATATTTGAGGCCTTCAAAGAACAACTATCTTGATCCTGAGAATAAATCACATGCAGTTGGACTTAATTAGTTCACTTCTGAGGTTTATTGGTTGCATTATATTTTATTTAAATGAGAAAGATTAAAAAAAAAAATCTGCATGTCCCACATTTTAGATTTTTAATTCTAACAAACATTATGTAATTTCCTACCACGACAAAGTTAAATTCTTTATGTTGGTCCATTGTAGAAAATCTCAAAAAATGCATTGATGTTTGTGGTTGTAACATGACAAAATGTAAGAAAAAAAAAACCTAGAGGAGTACTCGCACTACTGAAAGGGACTATATATATTCAGATTTTTAGCGTTCTTAGTCTTGAAATTACTTAAATCTTACTTACCGAATACACAATGGGGCAGAATTATGTGATGCCAATCTTCCCCAGATATATTTTATGTCACAGGATGGGGTTAAGAGTGAAGTGCTATATCTTTCTCCCACAATTTTTAAACATATTAAGTTACCCAGAAATTCTAAATTAACTGCAGGAGGCTGGAAGAAAGAAATAATCACCATAACTTGCGGTGGCTCTAAATTTGAATCGGTTGAATTGCTGCATCTGTAAATGTCAGCATTTCAAATTAAGAGTTGCAGCGCAGCTAGGAACACATACACCGCTGCTCTGTCACATGCTAAATTATGCATACGCTTCTACAGTTCAGTCTGAGCTCTGGAGGGATGGAGGTGGCTATTTGAGAGGCACAAGGCATGGAGCAGCAGGAGTTGTGTGGTTGTGAGCATGTGTGCACGTGAGACCTTGTGAAAAGATTAAAAAAGAGAAAGAGGAAACTCTGCTGCTGTGGTGGTCTCTCTGTTTGACATGGTGAAACACTGCCTACAGGGATGAAAGGTTGAGGAAAACATACAGTCAAAGTTACACTTTAGAGAATTTAGTAAAGGGCACCCTGGATCAAAAACTTAACAATAAAGTTAGAATTCCATTAAAACAGATAGCATTGAGTGCTTTCAGCCAAATACAACAGAAAAAAAAAAAACACTTTCTGTTTTGATCACATGTGTGCCTCTGTCATAACAGCAATCTTCTGAGTTATACAGATTAAGACCTGAACCCCACAACTAATTAGGATTAATCAAAACTCTGGATTGGGGCGCAAAGATAATCTCACTATTTAGCTTGGCCGCTCTTCCTCAACATCAAAGGCATGAAGCGCAGTGTGATCAAATCAAACTGACAAGAAACCCACAAGCCTCTGTCTTCCACAGCAGAGTGATGATCAGTGGGGATAAAATGCTGCTGCTGCTGCTGCTGGGGATGATGAGCTGACAAACTGTCATGCACCTTACTGATGCAAGCAAAATCAAATAGCATGTGAAGTACCCTGTCCATGTAATTCCTAGTCTCGGCTTTCTCTTCTTGTTATTTGGACGTACACACGCACATATGAACGCTCTGAGGGCATCTGAGTGTGTGTCCTATTCTTCCCATGTCAGCAAGAATCCCTCCTCTCGGCAATGATGTAACCTAACAAGGACCGACGCTGTGTCTGAACTACGCTTTCATGTCTGTGAAGTGAGCAGTCAAGCTGTCTGACGATGCGGACAGGAGTTTAAATCCATGCGGAGAACGTCGATGGGGGAGCGGACCACGTATGACGTCTCGAGATGAAAGTTTTTTTCTTAAATAATCTTTCCTCCTGTAGAGGGCTTCCACACAGCTCGGTTTTAAGTGAGCTTTCCAAATGTGTTTTGTTACAGGATTAACGGGAAGGAAGCAAAATATCTGCTGCAACGCTTTGGCGGGAGCTTAAGCCTCAGACTCAATCCCTGAGCTGTATCCTCCATTCCCAGTCAAGAAAAAGAGGAATAGGGGGAGAAAGAAGAAGAATGTAAGATTTAAAGGAAAAGGAGTGAAAAAAAAGGTGGCAGGGATGGAGCAGGGAGTGTAAGCTCTGTCTCTAGGCAACGCTCTGTGCGGGGAGGAAGGAAAACACACTTGGGAGGGAGGGAAAGAAGGAGGTTGTCTCTGCATAGCAGCAAACTGCACTGGGTCACTCAGCCTCTGCTGCAGCCGTGGCTCTACGCCACCAGTATAAAACATTAACATCCTACAGGATGGACAGACAAAAGCAAACAGAACAGTTGAAACCAGATGACTTCATTACTTATAAGAAATATGATCGGACTTGAAGGAAGATACAGATCATGACGCAATCATTAATTCAAGGTTCATTGCATGGTTCTTTATGTACCGCCAGTCGAGGATGGAGATTCGTTTAGACGTGGATTTGGTGGGTGACAAAATTTCCTTTAATCAGGTCAAGAATGATGTACAAAGTGGTCAAACACCTCAGCCAAAGAAGATAGCTACAGAAACTTTAATCAAAGCTATTTAACTTTTGTTGCTTAAGTTAGTTTTCATAACATTTTAATTTAACCCTTTCATGCATGAATTGTGATCCTTTGTGTCAGGATTTTTTTCAAGTTTTTTTTTTCTTAATGCATAAAAAAAAGGTAGGAATTATTAATTATTATTATTATTATTATTATTATTATCTTAGGTGATCAGTTGTAATTTTCTCCTAATACAAAGTTGTTATTTAAAAGTATTCTTCTTTAGGGGTTTTCTGATGTCACAATATTTTGTTTACCTGTAAGAGTCGTCTACAGTAGAAGGAGGGACCGGGTCGGTTGGCATCCTTTTTCGTCTGTTGGCCATATTGGATTTAACAAAAATAATTTCTTGCATTTGCAGCTGATGGCCAGTAGTTGATGGTGTATTTTATGATGCATTAGTGTCCACTTCAGTGGTCTGTGTGCATTTATAACATAAAAATCCACAAGAAGCACAAGAAAATGGCTTTTAGGCAGCTGTCCACTGTAGTGACCACTATGCATGAAAGGGTTAAATTCTGTATAATTGACCAAATTTCAAGTTAGTGGACTAAAAGTCACAAATGCTTTCTTTCCTATTTGCAATTGTTGTGCAACCAATACCAGGTAGCGTAGCTAGCCTACGTTATAGTTAATCATTTTAAATTTCAGTGATATTGACAGTTTCCTTTAGTATCAGTTTGGTTTCTTTTTGTGTGCCTACTTACATTTGGCTTCTCTTACCATATTTGTGTAGACAATTTTCAGTAAAACTGGCTTTTTATGCAAGTCTGCTATAAAATAAATTTTTGAGTCATAATTGTTGCCAACTACATTCTGGTAACACGGAACAATTCCTAAGATTAAAAAAAAAAAAATATTCCTGATTGTCCACAGCTTGTTCAAAACTCTAAAACAAGACCTTGAACTTGGAAAAAAAAAAACAGTATACTTCAAAACTGTTGTAATGTAATCTCGTTATTTGCCAGTCATTCTCTGAAGTCAGCTCCTGGTTTTATTATTTGGACATTGAATGGTTAAGCCCCTCAATACAATTCTGATTTGATAAAAACTTACATATCAACATCCTTGCAAATTTATCACATCTGCAAAATTAACTCAGCCTCACGTTATAGGGAAAGCAATTCAAACATAATTTGATGATTTTCTTTTAATACTGTCTACTATTTCTAAGATGCTGAATTATTCTGTAGTTAGTAACTGTTAAGCATTGCAAATTAAAGAGCAGTCAAAACGCTACTGGAAGTTGCAGACCTACAAATTATTGAGTTTTTTTTTCCATCTACAGAATAAGATTTCGCTAATAGTTGCAAAAAGTCTTGTGTTCAATATTTAGGAGGTTTTCATTGGCTGCTTTCGACAAAATTTTAAAACAACACACTTGGATCTTATTGAGCTACTAAAATTAATCCACCTTGATGTCAAGTGCAAGGTGAAAAGAAGCTGGGGGTCCCTGCTTGGCTCTGGGCTGTGGAAAAAGGCCAGACCGTCAGCTGAAAAAGGGGACGACGTTTGGATAGGAGGGAGACAATGTTATTCTATGGAGGTCTACTGAAGTCTAATTGCAAAATCACACTAAATAAAAATGTATAATGGACTAAGTTTGCTACTTTGTTTCAAAACCACAGATCTGAAACCCAAACTATCTACTACATAATTATTAATTTATGCTTATAGATGTCCTTTTTTATTATTTATAGTTTTAATAAATACTTAATTATGTGTGTTATTTCCCCTAAGATGAAACAATACCAACCCATTAACAAGGTTTGCCTTTTCCCCATTAAACCTGAGCTCAGCTTCGGAGAGTTCCATTTACTTTAATTTACACATTAATAATTAAATCATGGGGGAAAAAATAGCAGATCGCATGGCTTTAATTTTAGTTTATAGACAGCTTATACCTGCACCCCTAAGATTTGGAAAAATCAGTTAACGTAAATACAAGCATTAGCAGACATGTAAGTCAGGACGAAAGCTGCGTTCACCTCAATGTCACCAAAATCAATTTTTTCTCTGACTTCTTGGTGTAGTGGGTAAACTACAAGAAGTCTTTCCTTGAATTAAAATGAAATAAAGTGAATTTTGGGAGTCAAAGCAGTAATTTACCACATTTTATTTAGAGAATGCATTGTTAAACAATGTTCTTCAATCCCTTATAGCCACTTCAGCAACAGTTTATCTTTTTGGGGTTTTTTTTACTAATGGATAGTTTGCCAATTATCTTTCTAATGTAACAGAGTAATTATAGTTTTAATTAAGATTTGTGAGTCACTGCTCTGGTTCTTGGAGTCAAAAACTTACTCATGTAGAAGTGTATTTTTTATTTTTTTTGCTTTGATGAAGGCCAAATATAAATACACATAAAACATGTAAGAGAGACATTCCACAAAACGTGTAAAATGTTAGCAACTAGAAAACCATAGAACAGAGTATCACCTTTTCATAAGGATCAGAGTCATAGTTGAGTCCAATCCCACAGTCGTCTGTGATTTCTGAGAGATCTTCATCATCAAACTCCTCTAGGCTGATGTCATGGGATGGCCTAGAAACACACAGGGGGAGACAATATTTAAGAAACATTTGTGAAAAATGCTTCTGATTACAGCTAAATGGTTCTTTCTCTTAAGAAGAGCGGTCTGTTTGATTTGTGCCCTCCACACTCAAACCATGTTTCAGGTGAAACCTGCTCTCACTTAGTGGCTTTCCAAGTCACATATTCTAAATTTCCACAGCACCCCCAATACAAGCTCACATACAATAACTGTGCACTACATGATAGATCAATAGCAGTTTAGTTCTTATTATTAACCTTTATTTAATCATTAAAACACCATTGAGATAAAAAAAAATAAATGAATAAATAAATAAAACTCCTGGCCAAGACAGGCAGCAGCACATAGAGTTTGTAACAGAGTACTATGCTGCACATTTATCGGGTAAGAAATTGCTAGAAGTTCCATGTTAAAGTTTGTAAACTTTCTTTTATAGCACCATCGCTCCACAGCAGGAGAGTGACTACATCCCTGTAATGAGCCAAAGGAAGTTTGGTTGTGTAGGCTTTATTTCATCTGTGCTTCATTACGTCCAGCAGCCTCCCCAAGTCTGCAGCAGCTGCCTTGCAATGAATTGAAGGAAGTGCTGCAATGCAGCTTTTCTGCAAAGCAGAGGATTCTTTACATATTACCTATAGGTGCAAGATTAGATCTCCCTGTCAGATTGGTTTCCATGTCCGCACGGCGTAACAGTGCTCAAAGAGGAAATGAAGGTACACCAATTCATGTGAAGGTGAAACATTACATTGAAAAAGCAGGGGGCAAAATAAAGATATTGATGGCAATCTATATTTTTCCATTTCAATTTATGTTGCTCAGGATCAATTAGGGAGACAGCCCAGGCTATGCTGCAGTTAACACAACATGCACTCGCTGAGGAAACCAGAAGAGAGAATTGGGTGATGAGGTCACTGAATTACATCTCATGGATCAAAAGGAACAAAATTGCTAAAAGAGAAAAAAAAATCAAAGTGCCTCCCCTTGTGGTGGAAATGGGCATAGATCAGATAACAGGTCTTTAAAGATGTTGAAAAGATACTGTTTCAAAGCCATATTAGTTTGTCATCAGAACTTTTGCTCCTAAAAATCATTTGAATAAAAAAGTGCAGGAGTGTCGAGATTTTTCCCCCACCTGTAGCTGCACAGTGTTGGTCAGCTTATTAAAGGCTACTAAGCTTTTATCTCTATCACAGTCTCTGTCAGAGAGAGTAAAAATGCACTGGAAAAAGGAAATGATTACTTTTTTCATTTAAATCAAATTTTAAGAACTTTTAACACCTTACATCAAACTTACATTTGCTATGTTTTTTTTCTTTTTTTTCTTTTTGTATTTGTTTACATTCAGTGCTGGCCGGTGGATGATGCACCAGTCAATCACCTACTGATCAAAATCTTATCATGATCTGCTGTGACCAGTAATTATCCGGTCAAATGCAGAAAAAATCTGATTTTTTTTTCCAGTTTATTACCTGGAAGAATAAACTGTTGAATTAAGTGTTTGTGACGTTTTCCATTTCACAAACACATTAAAAACGTCATGTCTTTCATGCACTTGGGATATGGGGCAAGTCAAAATACACTCCCTGTTACAAAATCTACAGGACATTTTTTATTTAAAGAAGTACAGATGAATTCATTACATTTATTTGTTTAATTAAAACAGATTGTTCTGTATATGCTCGAGTCCTCGCAAACATCATTTGAATCCACAACTAAATAAGATACACAAAGACATGAAGAGTACACAAATATGCAGCGAAACACTCGATCAGCAGAGCTCTACAGAGAGCAGGCAGAGATGCATCTTCCCACAGCACATCTCCTTGACGCAAAGTTCAGAAAAAAATCAGCATATAGGTGAATTTTGCACAAATATTTTGGAGTTACATTCGACAGAAAATTCTGCAAATGGGCGGAGCCAACTGTAGTCAGATTCTTATCTGAGGATTACAAACACAATCAAATTCAGTCAATCTTTTAATAGCAATTTGAGTCGTCTACCGAAGGAAGACCAGGTAATGCATTGAGTCGTTGACTACAGTGATCCTGAACACTCAAAACGACAGTATACTCTGTTGCGACTTAGAGCAATTTATCTATATTGTCCTAAGCGATATGATAAATTCAATGGTTTCCAAAATTTAGATCCAACGTTAACTGTAGCAATGTATTATTTTCCTCATAAGACAGGAAGGTACTACGCTGCAAGAACATAGAGCTGTGTAAGAAAGAAGTGTGCGTGGAGCAGAGAAGTTGCAATTAAAGCAGGCGCAAAATGTGGTGGAGCAAATCTTCAAACTGACTGTGGTTCATTAGTGTGGCAAGCAATGCAGAAAAGTTGTCAAAACGCATTAATTGCTTTCACTATACTTCATGAAAGAAAGGTGCTGCTAAACACCCTGCAGGAAAGGTGTGTTCATACATGCAGGTGTACGTGTGGAAGGGTATATTATAATGAATAAGCACTAGCAGATATTCCTATGACTCATTAAGCTCTGAAATCAGAAGCTTTGAATTAAAGGAAGAGGTGCAGAGAAGAAACGATTAAGGCAAAAACTGTCCCTTCCAGAGACACATACTGTTTTTGAAAACCATAGTCATCTTTCAGATTCATAGACAGAATCATAAAACAAGCAACCTTTTAACATCGACAACTGTTTCTCATATCTTTTCTCTCTTACGCTCTCTCTCTTTTCCAGTCTTCTCTAACTTCTACCTCCTCCTTGTTTACAGGCACCATTTTGTTTTCCGTTTGTATTGTCACAGCAAAGTGTGGCCCCATTTTCCTTATATATCTTAGAAATCTGTGTCAGTAAATTTTGCAGACACAGAGCAATAACCAGACCAAAAGTTTCCCCTAAAATTCCCTCCAAAGAGATGTGGAGTATTTATCAGGAATGATGCAGTTCTAGTGCAGTGTTGACATTAGAGCAGCAGTAAGTTTTAATTTCACTTACCCTTAATGTTTTTTTCTGCTTTTAAATTGAAGCAAAAAATCTCCATCTGGCTGAAATAAGTCAGGCTACATTAAAACAACAGTTTAGAAGCAGCTTTGATTCACTGTCACTATTTACATTTTCATTATCTGCATCATTTTCTGCATCATTTTCAACTACATTATATAATGTTCAGATCCTCACAGGTCCCTTGTTATAAAATATTGATGCATTTATTATTTACTTACAAATTCATGAAAACATTTTTTTAAGACAATGCATCTACACTGATTTGAGAGTGCAAAAAAAATTCACTAAACCATTTAGGGCTCACAGCGTTTAGGCTCAGATGTATAATCTTCAGCCATGAAAAGTGATATTTAACAGCTGCAGTTGATGTATTGATGGCTCAGCGGGACAATCAGTTTGACTCGCTTGATAGGGCACCTTCACATAAACATATTTGTTTTTCGCTTTTCTTCTTGTCAGTTAACGCATCACAGCAAAGTGCTACGGTGGCCTGGATGTCTCAGAGTGGAGTTATACAGTAACCTCTTCAAGTGCTGACACCCCTCTGGACGATGTGCACAAAAGGCTTAGAATAAATAGCCTTAGGGGAGAGTAGTCAACCCCAACATGCTCCTCTTTGCTGACGGTCTCTAACCAGGCACTTAGGTTATTATTTGACATCCACTGCCTTCCTCCTCACTGAGTGGTGGCAAAATAAACCACATTTAAACTTGTGTGACATAGCTCCATTTGCTGTGGAAATTTTTTGTGAGTAGACCTTTAATTTGTATCCATTTCCCACCTTCATAAAGACCGGAGAGACATGAATTGCACAATGTTTTGAAGAGCAGCTGGATAAATTGTATTTTTGCCACCTTGTATTTATAATCCAGGGAAAACAATCAAGTAAAAATCACATATTATTTTAGACGAATTTTAAGAGTTTCAAATAATTGGTACACTGGTGATTTTGCATTAAAAAAAAATTGTAAAAGCTATCAAGATAAAAGGTTGTGAAGGTTTCTAACTTGCTATTGCAATAATATAGGAATTTATTTAAAAACGACTGCAAAACCTAACTGCTTCTAATATTTGTAAGAACAAAGATATACAAGATATGTGTCAAGATAGCATAAACTCAAATTCCAAATCAGCTGGATGGTGTTTTAACAAGCCTGTTCAGTAATGTGTATCATGTTTTAATATTTCAATATATTGCCAAAGAAAAGGACAAATTTCATTAGAAATATATTTTTTTTAGTTTTTTTGTTTGTTTATTTGATTAATCTACTACTTCCTGGAAGGAAAGAGGAGCTTCCCAACATTAAGTCAGAGTATTACAAAAATAAAAAATAAAAATAAAAAATTAAAATTGGAAGCTCTCAGAAAAAAAAGCCCATCAACCAGTAAGTTTCTCAGTGCAGTTCTGGAAGCATTAGAAGAGCGATCAATAATGGGTAATGCTAGCTGCAGCAAGCATCAGTCTTATAATCCTCACTCTTCACACTTATCATTTCGACACCCTTTGTCTCTGTAAAGAATTAGAATGAATAACAACCAATAAAACATCACGTACAGTATAGATGAATGACAAAAATATATTAATAGCAACATATCTGATAACAGTATTAAAGTAAAAACACAGAGACTACAGTCTTTGTTTTAATTAAGCTTCCCTTCAACCACAAGACAGTCTTTGCTATGACATCATCTTTAAAGGCCACAGATATTCGATGTGGTTACCTCTGAATCATTAATAAGATCATTTTTTTCTGACTATTAAGTGACTGTTTCTGGTAAGGACACGCGTGCGCGTGCGCACACACACACACATACACACACACACACACATCATTGTTGAATGAGTCATAGCTTCACCCTGATAAAGAGCTCTCAGTTGTCTGTGTTTGAGCCGAATGTGAATATCACAACATGTTGAGCTAAAGGTGGCGAAGATGATGATGATGATGCACACTGGATACAGATGATACCATGTGGATTGATCTGGATTTGGATTAATGGAATCATGAAATGTGATGTAAACG